ACACAGGCTAAGTTTACATTCAACATTTCCAAGCACCCATCTTTCACCTCAATTGCATTTTTTCAGTAATATATTTTATGTTTATATAAAAATTTACATAAGGAAGTAATGCATACACACATCATGGATACACATACACTCGTATATGCTGATAGGTTATTGCGTGGTCTCGAGGCATGGTGTCCACCTCCAGTGCTAGAGGTTCCGGTTAAGGCTGGGATTTTCTTACTGGACTTAGACTTCTAGTAATCCCCCTGGTCTCTTGGTAGTGAGAACGGACTCCCGTGTGCATTATTGAGCACGTAAAAAGTCGCTTGGCAGTTGGCAATCGAAAAAAGTAGCTCAACGGCGCTGCCTGGGCAAATTTTGGAATTAAAAATCTACCCAAAGTATTTCAGGATCCTCGCCGTTGCTACAGAGCTTGTGCACTGTGCTGCGTTTCTTTGGACTCAGACTTAAGTCAAAAGAAAAAACTAAGCACTTATGGGTTCCTAACCGTTTGCCATGAAGTTGATCCAGTTGTTTGAAACTCAAACCTCTTATATACCCATACGTACACAGACACAAGCATACCCATACACATACATACATACATCCATCCATCAAATGCAGGCAGGCAGGCAGGCAGGCAGACAGACAGACAGACAGACAGACAGACAGACAGACAGACAGACAGACAGACAGACAGACAGACAGACAGACAGACAGACAGACAGACAGACAGACAGACAGACAGACAGACAGACAGACAGACAGACAGACAGACAGACAGACAGACATACAGACAGACAGACAGACAGACAGACAGACAGACAGACAGACAGACAGACATACATACATACATACATACACGCACACACTCATACATACACACGTATGCGTACACATAATTGCGCTCATGCACATACATATACTCAAACTCATATATATATATATATATATATATATATATATATATATATATATATATATCCACAAGCACTTTTATACACACATGTACACATAAGCACACATTTACACACACCCACATGCAGTCTCATGCATGCATACACATACATACATTGATAAAAACACCCACACATTCTTATATCCACATGCATACACTCACGCATACAAACGTTTCCACTCATACCCACATCTGAATTCATACGCACGCTTACACAGAAATCCATTTAAAAAACCCAAACACTAATACATACATGCACTCATACGAACATGAACACCTATCTATACATACAGGCACCTCATCATACACACACGAACATACATCCTTGAACACTCTCACATACACATAAAACCTCATACGTACATAGAAACATAACCATACACAATGATTCATACATACAACAACACCCATACATACAACAACACCCATACATACAACAACACCCATACATACAACAACACCCATACATACAACAACACCCATACATACAACAACACCCATACATACAACAACACCCATACATACAACAACACCCATACATACAACAACACCCATACATACAACAACACCCATACATTCAACAACACCCATACATTCAACAACACCCATACATACAACAACACCCATACATACAACAACACCCATACATACAACAACACCCATACATACAACAACACCCATACATTCAACAGCACCCATACATACAACAACACCCATACATACAACAACACCCATACATACAACAACACCCATACATACAACAACACCCATACATACAACAACACCCATACATACAACAACACCCATACATACAACAACACCCATACATACAACAACACCCATACATTCAACAACACCCATACATACAACAACACCCATACATACAACAACACCCATACATACAACAACACCCATACATACAACAACACCCATACATACAACAACACCCATACATACAACAACACCCATACATACAACAACACCCATACATTCAACAACACCCATACATACAACAACACCCATACATACAACAACACCCATATATACAACAACACCCATACATACAACAACACCCATACATACAACAACATCCATACATTCAACAACACCCATACATACAACAACACCCATACATACAACAACACCCATACATACAGAAGCATCTAATCATACACAAACACCCATATAGTCACAGTCACCCCCACATACTCATACAAGAGGAGAGAAAAATAAGAGGTAGGTGAGAGAGGGGAGAGAGAAAAAGGAGAGAGAAAGAGAAAAGAGAGAGAATGAGAGAAACAGGAGAGAGAGGAGAGAGAGAAAGAGAAGAGAGAGGGGGGAAGAGAAAGGAGAAAAAGAGAGAGAGAGAGAAAGAGAGAGGAGATACGTATATATATATATATATATATATATATATATATATATATATATATATATATATATATATATATATATATACTAGCTGTACCCGGCCACGCGTTGCTGTGGCATAGTTTGGCTAAATGGAAATGAAAGAAAATAGAAATCGCACGTGTCTAATACAATCATTGTCTGCCCAGATATAGAGATAGTCTTTGATCCGCCCCCCCCCCCACCACCACGACAACTAAATCCACCTACTACTCTCTCCCTCATCAAAGGTTTTTGGAAAAGAAAGACAATGGAAATCGCACGTGTCTAATATAGTTAATGTCACAATCATTCTCTGCACAGATATAGAGTCTGGTTTTCCAACTTTAGAACACGCACCTTATAATTGTGTCTTTATATTAGTGGTCGTTTAAATGGTGTTATTAGCACAGTAACAAAAATGGTTATTTGGTTATCACATGCTAAAGCTGTTTGTATTTTTATAGGGGACGGAAGTAAAGCTACAACTATACTTGTGAATAACAAAGTAAGTCGTAAAAAATAGAAAAGCGGAGGTAGCGTTAGTAAAATATAAACAAATTAAGTAATGAGAACTTGAAAATCACGTGTAAAGCTCTTTAAGTTCTCTTAAATTTAAGTCATTACCCCCTCCCCTCTTCCACCGACTACTGCTCTCTCCATCTTCAAAGGATTTGAAAATCACTACCTGGCGATATTTTTTTGTTGCTGTAACTGACATTGACATCCCTGTCCATCTGGACTAAAATAGGGAGCAGGAATTGTAATAGGTAGAGAATGGGGCTAGTGTAATATTTACCACATCATCCTTCAAGTACCAGTATAACTACTCAAATAATGTCACTGCTATCTGTGTTACCATCGGAGTGGACAGAGAGTCGTGAGCCAGAAGATTTGGTTCCGCATGGCTAGTGCTGTCGCCACAGACTGGTCAGGTTAGGATGTATAATTTCACTTGCCGACAGAAGAACGCCATAACCTTACCGGCTGTCTTCACATGAGAGCACTATGGTGTAACAGCCCAACCACAACTATTACTGCTGCTGCTACTTTAAGTGGGTAAAGCAGTTACTGTGACTTAAAGCTCTCTCAGTTAATAGTTTGCCCACCCCCTCCAAATTCACCGACAACTCTTTCCCTCATTGAAGTAGTTGGGAGGAAAAAAAAAACACTTGAAAAGCAAATGAACACAGGAAAAAAACACCATAATTAGGAAATGAACGCCATGGTAAACAGCACAGCTTAAAATTTCAACGCAGATAAAATAACTAAATCTAAATGAAAATAAATGAAAATCTATGAAATTTCAGCGTAACCATGCAATCGGAAAGTTTAAAAATGCAATCATTGCCCCCCCTCCCTCTTCCCCCCAATCGAAGGTTGTTTGGATGAAAAAAAAAAACAGAAAATATAAATCGTGTTTAATATGGTTATTGTGGCAAATATAGAGATAGTCTTGTTTGCCGTACCACGACCTACTCTATGTATTAGAGAAGGCGTTAGCTGCACGTAACTCGCCGGCGAATGGTATCTACGGCGCATGCGCAATTACTAACGTGGCTATAATTAGAAATCACTAAAGGTATACATATTAGTTTCGGATATTATGGATTAAATTGTGGTCACCTATCTCTAACAATGACAGGTTGAATTTCAAACCACGATGGTTTTAAATCCGGTATCAAAACAAATATATCCTGAAAATTTCAGCTAAATCGGTTCAGTAGTTTCCGAGTCTATAGGGGGGCAAACAAACACACAAACTTTATATATATATATATATATATATATATATATATATATATATATATATATATATATATATATATATATATATATATGTAAATATATATAAATGTTAAAACAGAGTGATCAATTGGTGTTCTGGTCCTTTCCGTCTTATTTCAAAGGACTTCAACATGCCATGCATGTCCTAAGATGTAATTAACGGTGACTGGCAAGATATTTGACTACCTTAGTGTGTGTGTGTGTCTCTCTCTCTCTCTCTGTGTGTGTGTGTGTGTGTGTGTGTGTGTGTGTGTGTAATATAAAAGAGAGTTTTAGCGCAAAGTTCAACTAACCTTGCAGTGTATAGAGGCTATGACACGAGTTAGCTGAACAACATAAGCGGAAGAAGAAGAAGAAGAAGAAGAAGAAGAAGAAGAAGAAGAAGAAGAAGAAGAAGAAGAAGAAGAAGAAGAAGAAGAAGAAGAAGAAGAAGAAGAAGAAGAAGAAGAAGAAGAAGAAGAAGAAGAAGAAGAAGAAGAAGAAGAAGAAGAAGAAGAAGAAGAAGAAGAAGAAAAAGAAGAAGAAGAAGAAGAAGAAGAAGAAGAAGAAGAAGAAGAAGAAGAAGAAGAAGAAGAAGAAGAAGAAGAAGAAGAAGAAAGAAAAAGAAGAAGAAGAAGAAGAAGAAGAAGAAGAAGAAGAAGAAGAAGAAGAAGAAGAAGAAGAAGAAGAAGAAGAAGAAGAAGAAGAAAAAGAAGAAGAAGAAGAAGAAAGAGAACAAGAGAACAATAAGAAAGAGAAATATTTCTGATGTTTTGTGTAATCTGATATATTCTGTATATTGAAACAGAAATGACCAGTCTACATTTTTTATGTCCACAGATCCGACTAGCTGTACATTGAAACAGTAATGACTAGTCTACATTATTTCTGTCCACAGATCCGACTGCCCCGATACCCCAGCAAGGACATTGACCACAAACGAGAACTCAAGGACACAAACGAACGGGAGTTTTTCCTGGAAATCGTCAAGGACATCTCTAATGAACTTGACCTAAAAAGCCTCAGCTCTAAAATCGTCTCCAACGTCAGCTGTATGCTGGACGCCGACAAGGTGTCCCTGTTTCTGGTCGAGGGCAAGCACTCTGGCAAACCAGTTCTGGTGTCCAAGATCTTTGACCTACATGCCGGCACCAGTATTTTACCGTCATGCTCCGGGGACATCCGGGTGCCTTGGGGTCACGGAATTATTGGTCACGTGGCGGAAACGGGAGAGATTGTCAACTTACTGGAGGCCATGAAG